CAAATGAAAACAAGAACATTTCAAGTAACAGGAAATGTCCTTGATGGTTATTATGCTAAAACAGAAGATCCTAGTTTTAAGATGATCTTGAATGTTTCAAAGACTTGGTTTAAAAAAAAAAATCTTCCTGTGGAATAACTGCATTGTGAAAATTTGACTGATTTCACGGTTTCTGCAAATTAAAAGCAAAAGTATAATAAAACCATTTGGATTTTCTGACCACAGCAATCTTCCTGTACCAGACATTCCCAGCTTCATTTTTGTTCCAGAAGAAGAGTTGTTTTACTTAAAAAACTGAATATTACCAGACATTTCAGTATTCCTATTTTCCATTTGTACCTGACACCATATCCATCTTCTTCACCTTCCTTCCTGATTTGGGGACTAATTGGTTCACAGGAAGCAGGGCAGCAAGTAGAAGAAATTAATTGCTAATGAAGCTGGGGAAAGCTGCAGCTGCTGCAGTTGTGTTTGTAAAGGGACTGAGAAACTTTCTCAAGCTTTTTGAAATTCATTTAAAGGAATGAGGGGGAATACAGGGCTTCAGAAGGCATTAATAAATGCCCTCTTTCTCTAGACAGAACTTTAATAAGGGATAATGGAAGTAACATAAATAGAGTAGGAATTTCTATGAACCTTTGGCAAGATCAATGCTTAATGTTTACATCAAAAGTCAGAGTTTAAGAGGATTTTCTTTAAAGAGTTTCTCTTTAAACATGATCAGTTGTACAAATGTATATTTATGTAGCAATCTAGTCCAGGCTTTAATTAATGTGCTTGTCTATTGTTTTATGATGGGCATAGAGATCCTAGGAGAATGTCTTCAGAATGTCTATCATACAGTTATTTCATTGAAGTCAGGTGATAGAGCTTCCTTTTGTGTTATCACCGTGGATCTTAATTAGCTTGTGCTAGATGTGATGTATATATTTGAGCAGGGGGAGGAACAAAAATGAATTGAGGTGAGCACTGCCCTTTATGTAGCCTTCTTGGAGCAGAACTATCATTCCTCCCTTACATTACACCTAATAACTTAAATTTTGCAGAGGAAGGTACAAGTAGCAGAGGGGCATCTTTTCTGAACTGGAGGTAGAACTAGCAGTTTCACAAGTCCTGATATGAAATGGACGCTTGTGTTTCACTTCTCCAAATAAGGACTCTCACTGAAAAATTTCAGTTTGTTATTTATGTAAGTCTGTGGCTATACTCAGTTAACATGTGGGATCAGTGTTGACTTGATGAGGACCAGTAAACTTAATTATAATCCAAATAAGTCAAAGTTGGATCCCTTGGAGCTCTTGTACATGTGGCTGCAGTCCCCATAAAGGTATAGGTTCATAATTAGAGATGAGCGCAAGCACTTTGTGCTGGGTCATCCTACATTGTCAGCGTGGGACCATAGGTGCTGCACATTCCCTACTCTCACCCCCTTTGCCGGCATCTCAACTCACGTTCCCTCGTCATGGCACGATCTTCCAGTCCCAGCAGGAGCATGGACCTCCCTACTCCTCCAGCAGCTACCCACTCACTGACAGCATTGTGGGAATCCCCACCCTGCCTCCTTGTCTGAGTGGGCAGCTGCTGGAGGAGGCAAAGAAGGGAAATCAGTGTTCTTGCCGGAACTGGAAGGTCATGCAATGGGGAGGGAATGAGCAACATGCGACAGCTGTTGAGTGGGGGTGCCAGCGATGGGGGTGAATTAGGATGATGAAGTCTAGTTACAGGAAAGGAGAAAACATTATTTTTGTCTGTAATATTCTAAATTTCTTATCAGTAAGAGTTGCCTGTTAGAGGAATGGACTGGTCTGGAAGATTTATTCTCCTTTTTAGAAGTTTTTAAGCAAGTTGGATGGCTATGTATCAAGGATGCTTTAGCTGTAGAATTCTGCATTGCTTGGGGGGGGTTAGCTACAGTGGAAGAACGTTTCTACTTACAACCATTTCGAGTTACGACCAGCTCCGGCCACAAAATTTTGCTTCGACTTGAGACTGGAGCTTCCACTTACGAACAGAAAGAGGCAGGGAAAAAGGTGGGAAATTCAAATTTCTAACTGTAGGTGGCAGCGAGGCTGCTTCTTTGTAGCTCTTTCGCCCCAGCAGTTAGAGTGTGTACATTGGAGGAGGCTTTGGACTGCCTGCTTATGCTTCTGAGTGAGCATGTGTGTGTGTTTGCAGGGAGGGTTCAGGCTACCTGGTAAGGTAATGCTGTTTTCTGCTTTTTAGAAACTGTTCTGGGTAATTTTTGCAGCCTGGTTTTGAGCTGCGGGGGTTACGTTTCTGTGCTGTGATTGGTCTTGGGGGGTTTGTTTGTTTTTTGGTTCCCCCCCATTTCCGATGGGTCTTGGAGGTTTTTTTTGTTGCTTTTTGAAGTTTTTTCCCCATTTCCGATGGGTCTTGGGGGTTTGATTTTTTTTGTTTTTTCCCCATTTCTGATGGATCTTTGGGGGGTGGGCTGCTTTTTGGGTTTTCCCCCCATTTCTGATGGGTCTTGGGGGGTTTGATTGCTTTTGGGGTTTTCCCCCCATTTCTGATGGATCTTGGGGGGTTTGCTTTTTTGGCTACCCCCATTTCTGATGGGTCTTGGGGGGGTTGCTTTTGGGATTCCCCCCCCCCATTTCTGATGGGTCCTGCATGCTTCCCTTCCTTTTTCCTTTGATTTCCGATCTGCCCCCTTTGTTCTCTGTGCATTTCCGATCTGCTCCGTTTCTTTTTTGTGCATTTCCAATGTGTCTTGCACACTTGATTGCTTTTCTTCTCTCCCCCCCCCCTTGGCCGGAAGGGATTAATCATGTTTCCAATGAGTCTTGCAGTGATTTTTTTTGGTGATTTTTTTTCTTTGGCCGGAACGGATTAATAGCATTTCAATGCATTCCTATGGGAAATGGTACATCGACTTACAAACATTTTGAGTTACGTCCATCTTCTGGAACGGATTATGGTTGTAAGTCGAGGCACCACTGTAGTATCCTTTGGTGTCTCTCCCAGCTCTACAATACTGTGATCCCAATGAGACGTTTGCAATGTATTCTGGGATACCTTTGAAGACTTTCAAAAAGCTGTAATTTGTTCAAAATACATCTACAATGTTGCTAGTACTGCTTCTTGTCAGTTCTTGAATCATTGCATTATCCTCCGGCTGATTCTGAGAATAGACAAAAGTGCTCATTTTTCTCTGAAATAGGATCTGGGCTCTGGGAGCAGTGTTTTTTTCTATGAATCAGCTGGAGAGGTGAGTAGCAATAAGTAAAATAACCCTTTAAATATTGGGTCCCCGATGGAATGCCCTTTACCTTATAGTAGTGCAAAATGGAGGCTACCTCCTTTATCTGGTATAACCAATTCAACTGTACATATAAATCAACCCTCTTTTTATTGCAAGGAAAATTCGAGACATGAATCTTGCTCACTATTGCAGAATGTTTGCAGATGGTGTGATTAGGATTTTACAACTTCCTGATGTAGCATGGGATCATGTTTTGGACCATTTTGCATGTATTTTTCTTTCTGTGCTTTCTAAATTCACCTAAGAAAATATTTGGTCAGGTCCTGAAATGACTGTACAACTCTAAGCATGTAGATTATACTTTATTTTGGATCTGATGCTGAACAGAATTAAATATTTGGAGTACTTTAGCTGTACTTTGCAAGTGTATGCTTGTTCTTATAAGGCTTAATTATAAACTTTAGATTTTATAAAATGGCAGGTACATTATAAAGATTGATTTAATATGATTTTGTTTTTGAAGCAGGAATAGTAAACCATCTCTTGTTCTCATTTTCTGTTCCTCTGACCCAAAGTGGCATTACTTGCTTTCCACTCTTTTGCTATTGTCTCAATGTCAGACTTAGCGAGACATTCTTTTAGTGATGCTTTGACCAAAAATAAGAGTAGCATATTCTCAAATATAGGAACTTGTATGCCTGGAAGTGGCTCTTTTTGTTGTGTTTTGTTTTAAATGGGGATAGCTTGTCTGCTCTTTTAAGTTATCACTGCTTTGCATAGGGCTAGTTTAGTATGGCATCCTTATCTAGTGACATTAATTGATAAGTAGGAAAAAGGATCGCATTGATTATTTTCTTTTTTGTACTTGTGTTTTTCAGTTTGAATAGGTAATACTGTAGTTGCCTCAGCCCACATTCTGGTCTTGCTTCTCCTCCTTAGACCCCAGTTTTAGATTCGTACCTCCAATGAGGGTGCTATGTGTCTGTACACATGTCCTGATGAACTAAATGCTGAAAGGAGAAAAATAGAATTTCAAATTATATGGCTGTGTAATCCACCCTATACTGAAGCCATTGAGTTTAGTACAGTGGTGCCTCGCTTAATGGGCACCCCGTTTAACGACGAATCCGCATAGCAACATGGATTTTGCGATCGCAAAAGCGATCGCATTGCGATGTTCCCTATGGGGAAAAATTGCTTTGCGATTTTCCCCCATAGGCCCCATTTTCCCCCAGCTGACGGCGGGTGCTTCGGAAGGAGCGCGGGGGTGGGCTCCCCCGCGCTCCTTCCCAAGCACCTGCTGGTCAGCGGGCCGAAAAAGCCGGCTAGGGCTTTGCAAGGACGGTCCTCCCAAAGGCCCCATTTTCCTGGAACGGATTAACGTTGCTATGCGGGGCACCACTGTATTGTGTTTTCTGGGCTGTAATGAATTTTTGAATTAAACTTGAAGGCCAGAATCCTGTTGAAAAAACAGGTGGTGGAAAGTTAATTACATAAGTAAACACTTGTTTGATGTGATGCCAGTTGCTTGACCAGTGCATCACCAGGCATACAATACTGAGAATGGGAACTATTTTAATGATTTTCTATCCATACATAGCTTTACATGACAGGATTCCAGTTCTAGATAGAAGATGGAAAGTAAATACAAGAGGGAATTAAGCAGATGAATGTCAAGGAGTTTCTTTAAGCCCCACTGATTTTGAGGGTTCATAACACACCACTGCTAGTGACTTGACTGCAAGCACATTTATATTTTATTTTGTTCCTCTTTTAGTTCATCAGACAAGATATGAAATATAAGGATGCTTCTAACAAACATAGCCACCTACACAGGGAAGACAAACACATCACAATTGAAGATCTGTGGAAGCGCTGGAAAACATCTGAAGGTAGGGCACTGAAAACTGTTTCATTCTACAAGTTTTACTGGTTTCACTGGTGAATTATGGTGTTATAACTGAAAAGTGTCCTATTGATGGACATGGTTAACTGCATTTATTGCCTTGACTGAGGGTTGGAACAGTTCAGGTGAAAATAATGGATTTAAGCTTTGACAGCGTAGGCATAGGCATTTTTGGCAACTTGGATATAGTCTCAGATCAGGCTATTACAACATCTGCTTTTGAAGAAACAAGCTAGAGCTAGCAAGAAGCTAATCAGTGGAGCCTGTGAAACCAATGAAAAGAACTCTTAACTTTTATATCACTGTTTAGAAGGCTCATGGTTTTACTAACACGTTTTGAAGAACTAAAGCTGAGAGAAAGAGGCTTGCCTTAATGATGCATTATGCATCATAGTGAATGATACAAGATTTTAGTCTGGGACACTGCTTCACTATCCATTATGGTGCACCAACACTCAACAGCAGTTGTGTCTATGTCTTTAAACTGGCAGTTTTTCATACACTTACTTGTAGAAGTTCACACAAGTATTTTAACACTGTCTGCAGTGAAGTCTGTTCACAGCCCGTTCAGTTTTTTGCTCTTTTTAATACACAGATTGTGGAAGTTACATATATGTAAGTGATTTTCATCTTCCCAGAGGTCTTTTTCTCCATTCTCATTATAGCTGCTTCAGTATGAAAGTTACTGCCTGCAAATTCTTTTGTTGGTTTGTTGATTTTAAAAAATATTATTTTGCACCATTATGTTCTAGTAGAACTTACATTTCATTATTTATACCATTCCTTTTCTTGCATGTTACAAGCCACATCTTTTTTCAAGAAAGAGATAAATTAAGCAACAATACTCACCATGTACAGTACTTACTTTCTTTGAGTAGCATACATTGTTATGCTGTTTTATGAGCTAACTTGAAATCTCCTCAGTTTTAGAAATATGTCATTTTCAGCAATGCACACCAAAAGCTCTTTTATGCAAGAGAATTAGTTGCGTGATTTAAATCCCAGCTAGTACATGTTTGAAAATATTGGTAGGACTTAATCAAATGTCATCTGGAGTTTTTCCTCATTTACTATATAAAAGATCTCTTGGAACTTCTGAAAGCTGTACATCTGCTTGAATTGAAACACTGTATTGTGGAGTTCTTTCTGGTTTTACTTTGTTTGATTTTGTGTATGTGTTTTGAAAATACGATCTATTAAAAATATGAAGAATCTGTAGCAAGCTGGAAGAATCAGAGACTCTCTTGTGAAAAATATCTTACCTTCATGTTAGCCACAACTCCTAGCTTACATTTTTGTGTTAGACATATGTATGTGCTTTGCCCATATGACTTTTAACTCACATTTCCAGTTCTTCCATGTTAGGCAATCAACAAGAAAGACATTACTTTTCTAGGACTGGCCCACCCACCCCCCTCTGCCTACATCCAAACTCTTTCAGTCAAGTACAGTATATTTTTCTAGGAGTTACTTCTTTCTGAGAAGACCAAAGAAGAAATACAGTCTAGACTTGGGGTACTGTTGAAAATAATGACCACATCTTAAAAGCAAATATTTTTTATTTTGCATTCCAATTAATGTAATGTGTAATGCAATTTTACTTCTTTGTAAACAAGTACTTATTATTTAGAGTTTAATGTGATTTATTTTTGTTCACTGAATGAGATAGTGTTGCACAAGATTCCATGAACATTCCAAAGTATTATGTGATTAGAAGGACTTTATTAACTTCTAGTTTGACTTACAACTGTTAAAACTACAAATTGTATCTGTAAATAAATTCCCTTGGGGTACTTAACACATTCGAACCATATTTTGTGAATATAGTTGAACAGCCATATTTGCATAAACTTACTATTACCCTTTGCAAAACAAGCATGCATTCTGCTCTGAGCTATGAAAAAGTAGGATAGAAAATGCTATCATCCCACTGTTAGATACCCATTGATTTTTTTACCAACCAAGCATAATCTCTGTATTTTGATGTGATATATAAATATTTGCCATATGTCTGAGGAAGTTGACTTGTCCATGAAAGCTCACATTAAAATTTAACAGTGTTTAAGGTGCCACCACATTTTTGTCTTTTTAATTTGTTTTTTTTTTCATTTTTATCTTTATTTTGTTTTTACCTAGAAAATAGAAAGTTATTTTCAATCTCTTAACTTATCTGTCCTCTACAGTGACTTTAATCCTCCATTCTGTTAATTAAAACTGTGGCTTGCTTTTGGTTTTTCCAATCATTTGGTTAACATAAGCAGAGTAGACATTGTCTAAATAGGCAGGATACAAATTTAATAAATAAATAAATAAAATAATATAAAAATGAATTTTTGAGATAGAATTAAATGGATTTATTATGCTAGTGTAAAGGATGGTGTCAGTAACATCAGCTTCTTTGAGCATGCTTGAAAAGAATTTGTGTGTCAGACTCATAGGCTGTAAATAGTACTGATCATTTCTCATTAAGCACCAAGTGAGCCCAGCCCATTATAAACCTGTTATTTGATTAGCTTAAGTTCTAGAATGCTCTTGATGATGAGTTCTGTTAAGAAAAAATCCAGCTGATTCATAAAAAAATCTATCTAGAGGTTCCTGTCTTTCCCCTTCCCTGTCTCTGCCTCTGCCTCTGCCTCTTTCTTTCTTTCTTTCTTTCTTTCTTTCTTTCTTTCTTTCTTTCTTTCTTTCTTTCTTTCTTTCTTTCTTTCTTTCTTCGTGGTCTCTGTTAATGCACACAATTGGGTATTACTGCGCCTGCACAGGACCTCTCGGAAGTTTCTGGAGCTTAAAAACGTATGATTAGTGGGACGTTCCCCCATGGAGCGCATGCTGTGCCCGCCAGAGACCGCCTCGGTTCCATTTAGCTGCCGCTCAGGTCAGTCCTTTCAGTGAGCTTTTGAAAGCCTTATTCCTTCGTACCTCACCGCCGTTTTTACTTTATTTGGCTTTCCCTTGTGAGTTCTTCCTCTTTATATTACTTTCCCTTTCCTTCTCGATCTATTTCATCCCCTTCCCTGTTTTTCCCACTTCTTTTATGCCCCCCTGGCCTTTCAAGCAGTGTGTGCTCTGCACTGACAAAATCCCGCTCTCTGATGGGCATGGTTATTGCCTTTTCTGCCTAGGAGAACAACATCAAACCCATAACTGTGCAGAGCGTTAAAAACTAACTAAACGGCACTCAAATTAAGATTACAGTGTCTCAGATCTCACCTTTGGGAGACATACAAAAAAACCCTAACTAAACCACCCATTAATCTTACCTTCACTTTTTTTATCTCCTCAAAATAATGCTGAGGGCATGCTCCATATGCTCGACGTCAGGCGCTCCTTAGCTTTTTACCTTGACAGAACTCCATCTCTTCGAAAAACTCCATGACTTTTCATATGTTTTCATGGTCCTCATAAGGGCTCAGCACCATCCTCACAAATTCTATCTAGGTGAACTGTCCAGACAATCACTCTGGCCTATGAACTATCAGACAAATCAGCTCCAGATGCTCTTCGCGCACACTCTACCAGAGCTTTTTCAACCTCAACTGCCTTTCAACATGGTGTTGACATTTCTCACATCTGCTGTGCTGCCACTTGGTCCACCCCGTCAACCTTTGTCTCGCATTACCAGCTAGATGTTCTAGCAAAGAGTGATGCAGCCTTCGGCCGAGCTGTCCTAACCTCCTTACTTCAGTGATGTCCCACCAACCAGTAAGTGAGCTTGCTAGTCACCCAGTTGTGTGCATTCACAGAGACCACGAAGAAGAAAAAGAGGTTACCTACCTATAACCATATTCTTAGAGTGGTCCTCTGTGAATCCACACATCCCGCCCATTCTGCCCTCTGTCACTTGTCGTCTACACTTACCTATGACAGCGCTGGACTTTTGGGAATTGAAGAGGTCTCTGGTGGGTGAAGCATGTGCTCCATGGGGGAACATCCGACCAATCATGTTTTTAAGCTCTAGAAATTTCCGATAGGTCCTGCACAGGCACAGTAATACCCAATTGTATGGATTCACAGAGGACCACTCAAAGAACTATGGTTACGGGTAGATGACCTTTTCTTTCTTTCTTTCCTTCCTTCCTTCCTTCCTCCCTCCCTCCCTCCCTCCCTCCCAGACTTACACATACCTAAATTTCACAGACCTTGAGAAAGTTCTAGACCGAAGGCTTTATCCCTAGTTCTGTTAAAAAGCGGTGTAGTATGTGACCAGGTTAGGTGATGTTTTTGGTGATCTGTTCAGCTCAGATCTGTCATTGTATTGTAGAATTGATGCCTTGCATAGCTGGGAATCAACTTTGCTAGAAGTGCATAACTGCATATTAAGAAATGTTATGGCTGCATTATTGTTCTTAATTATTCCCCCCCCGGGGAAGCTGGGCTGAGGGTGAAGGCCAGGTATGTTTGAATGGATGTTTTACTGAGTTTTTTTTTCTGGGCTTTCTTTTTGTCTCCTCACCACATGGCCTGGGGGCGGGGCCTAGGGGTTGGGACTTTCTGCTTTAAAAAAGTGTGTCCCAGGACCCTGGACCCTTTTCCCTTGGAAGCACTCAGACATGACTTATGTTTCTTGTAATTCCATAACTAAATTTGTTAAATGAGCCATGGAAAGGTGGAACTTATTGTCTGCTCCATAAATTCTTCAAGTTAATCTCACATCTTGATTTTTTTTTCTTTTTTTAGAATGCTATTACATTTTATTACTATACTTTTATAATTTTACACCTTTTATGATTGTATGTACTTGCATGAGATGCCAAATACTAGTTTATGATTGTTTAATCTATGTTCTTGCATATAGCCCCATCGGCTACAAAGCAATAAAGTATTTGTATTCATAATTCCATAAGGATTGGGTGACACTTTTTCCCAATATGTTTTTCCTTCTGAAAGTTGTTTCTGACTTCCATTTTAAGCAACCTGTAGTACTGCCAAATTTTTCCCTCTCTGACTTAGATAAATTAGTATACACACTGGACATTTATAGAGCTT